TCTTTGGCATAGTTACCAAACATTTTATCCTTTTTCCTTAATAGACATTTTACTTTCTTTTTTAACAATAAGCATATTCTCTTGGAACTAATTTGTTTATTTATCATATTACGCAAGAATATGGGGATCAAGAGCTTTCAGATGTTTTTCAAAGATTTGGTACAACTTTAAGTGCAAAAGTCTTCCTTGACAAAGCAATTGGTTTTAGTAAATGTTTCGGTATGCAACCTATTCTTCCCTTTCTCATCCAGGACCAAAATTTGTAGGGGGATTTACATACATACCACAATATTATTAAGTATTTTCATGTAAAACCCCTCCGAAGTGCATTTTTTTTAGTGCAGTTAGTCCGTACGAACTGACTTTAGTACGTGACGAACTGAAGAAAATTGTGAAGAATCTGTATGGTTCGTCTAGACTAACCTGTACGATGTGTGAACATTATATAGCGTCAATCATAAAACTTATGGCCCATTTATATTTATTGTTGTTACCCATTTTAATCCTATAGTTATTTTTGAAGTTAGAACAAATATAGCTCTCAAAATAAATGGTAATAATAATTGTAACTTTGAATTTCCTAAGCTTTAAGAAAAATTACAAATTTGCCAACTTTGTACTTAGGTTTTATTTGGGGAAACTTTCTTACTGCTTTATGAAATAACTTTTTAGTACAAAAATTTCAAATTCAAAAAAATAAAGTACTAAAAAATACTTCATAAAACAATAAAAAAACCTGTCCCAAATGAAACATTCTACAAACAATATGATTTATAATTTTGCCATGCTCTTTAGGATTTGAGTGATATTGTTATAAATAGATTAATAAAGTTGATATTTTTTAAAAATATTAAAAAAATATGCTGGATATGAAATTATTTTAAAAAGCAATATATAATTCTTTTAAAAATAGATAAGTGGGCCCCTTACATCAAAGCCAATTCATTCCTATATAGTGGGCCCTATAACAACAACTACAACAAATGATTCACACTTCCCCTATTATAGGCACATATTCAAGAAGAATTATTTTGTGCGGAGTGCAGAGGGCGTTCGGAGACCAATAAAAATGTGCCACGTCATCTTATTGGTGGGTACCCAGCTCGGTACCGGCACTCAATATCGTTGGATACCCAGTGCTTAATCGAACGATTCTCCCATCCAGTCTTCGTACAGAATAAAAGCTCCATATTCAATGCTCCATTACTGCATGCAAACCATTCCAAATAATAATATAATTAGAAAGGTTCATCTTTCAAATAAGTTTATAGTAAACATAGAAATGTTTATCTTGCAACTACACCTAGTAAAAGCCACTTTACCAATTGATTTGGGCTTTGTTTGTGACAGCTTTTTTATTTCTTTTTAAAGTATGTTTTTAGTAAAAAATTAAAATTTTGTGCTAAAAATTTGCTTTAAGAAGCAGTAAAAAAGTCACTCAGATCGAATGCTTTAAGAAGCAGTAAAAAAGTTGTATTTATTTTGATAAATGAAATATAAATTTTTTATAGATTGCATATATCTGAAAATAAATTTAACAAAATTTAGACTCACTCAGATCGAAAGGAAAAAAAAAAAAGTGAGAGTATCCTGCTATAAAATGCAACAAGATGGGCTTCAAAGGAGAAATTATTCTGTGTGGTCATCAGATCGTCTGGAGAAAAATAAAAATGTGTCACGTCACCCGGTATATAACAATACACAACATCATTACACATTAAAAAAGTGATGTGGTGCTCTCTTATTCTTCTCCGGTCGCCGCCATCCGGTGACTGCACAGAATAAATTTTTGCTTCAAAGGACTTGAATTTGCACTGAGATACCAAATTATATTAATCTTAGTGTAAATCCAAGCCTTAGAAGTTCATCATGATGAATTTTGCATCAAAACAATCGTAACATAATTTTTTTCCTTGATCAAAATTCCCTCAAAGCATACAAGCTGATTTTTTTCCCCTTTAATAATAACGTCGCCAGCTGTTTTAATTCTAACATAATAAACTATGAAAAATTTTAAATTTTGTCGTATATCCTTACCAAATTTTTTATCAAGATTGACATCAAAACTCTTGAATGTGATTTGAGATTAGTGCAATTTAAATTTATTATATATTGCACTCATCTCAAAGCAGATCTAAGACCTTTAAAACTCATTCTAATCATTTATTTAATAGGGGCTTGCTTACATAATTTTTTTTCAATAAAATAAAAAATCTAAATATAGAAAACTTCTTTCATGTCGCTTTCTTGGTGTATGATGATGACAAGGATCCAAACATACAACCTCAGCATTAATTTATCAAAATAATAAAAGTTTTTCAAAAGGAGCTCCATGCAATTTGATAATTTTATATTAACATAATCTTAACTTTTTCTTATAATTTATCAAAACAATTAATGCTTTTCAATAGGACCTCTTTGAAATTTCTAATCTGATTTTAACTTCTGATTTTTGGCTTTTTATTGGTAATTAATTAAGGTGGTCTTAAAAAAAATCGATCATGACTTTATGAGACCACATGGTCGGATAAAGGCTTGTTGTTGTTGTATATTCTGATACGAAAATAATGATAATGAGTTTTAATATCCTCTGATATTCTTTTAAGATGAGTGCAATGCAAAAATAATTTATATCGCACCCATCTAAAAGTAAATCCAAAGGCTGGAAAGCTTATATTGACCATAAATTAGGTTAACAGATCCTAACACAATTTTTTTCAGCTATATTACGGGTTGTATCGAGTCGAGTTGGAACGAGCTGACTTATATTCGAGATTGAATATTGCAATTTTGTCTCGAGTCAAATTAGATTTGAATCAAAAGTGATTGATTCAAATGAGTTTGGAGCTAATTTGAATAAATGTTATTAGTTTTATAAAATATTTTTAAATCACTAATCAAGAATATTATTTAATAAAATTTAGCAAAATTATTATAAACATACATTTAAAATAAATGATTAAATGTATTTGTTATATTTATCTTTCATGCATTTATATATAATGATACTTCATGGGAAAATTATCTTGATCGGGCACGAATCTCGAGGCAAAAAGATAGTTGGAAACTTCAAAATTTAATTTCGGGAGCATCTGAACTCCGATTTCAGCGAGCTTATAGTCAAACTGAGCATCTCAGAAATACGAACCCAATGAAACCAAGATCAACCCAATCCGAGCCCAAATGAGTCCAAATCATGGACCTGAAGCGCTATTGGAAGGTTCAAACCACTATTTGAGTTACTAAACGGACTCCGATTTTGACGAGCTTATACTCGAATCGAACGGCTCAACGAGAGGAATCCAAAGAGCCCAAGATCACTAAATTCCAACATCATTAAGGCCTCCAAATGTCCAACGAACGGTGCACGATCGAAGGGTTCACTATCGGCCGTTCATTCAAACCACTCCCTATTCGCCCTTGATCTCACACCTATTTACGGGCCATGCCACTCCAGAAAATCTATAAATAGAGCCCTCATTCTTCACAAGAGAGGATCCAAGCAAGAGAGAGAAGAAGAGAAGAGAAGGAAGAAGGTCCTCCTCAATAGCCGCCGGACCACCGCAGGACCACCGCCGGACCATTGCAGGAGCACCGCCGAACCACCTCAGGAACCTCGCCGGACCACCACCGGATATTTCATTGCACCACCGTCTTAAGGCCCAACGTTCAGGCCCGACGCTAAGACCCGACGTTCTGCTGAGGGCCCTGTTCTGTTCAAGGCCAGACTGTCAACACCCGAACTTTCAAGTGGCACTGGGTTTAACACCTGACTCCTATCGAATAGTTACTAATTGTAAATCTGATCGCCCTTAGAAGAGATTCAGTACTTTGTAACCGATTCAAAGTCTAGTGGAATCATTTTCAACTGGGCTAGGCCTCGTGGTTTTTCCCCTTTTTAAGGGTTTTCCACGTAAAAAATCTTGATTTATCTGTGTGTGAGCTAGTTATCCGTACAACACTAAGACGTAGAATTAAATCTCTATCGCCACGTATTTTCTAGCCCGCAACAATATTAAAAATTTATATATTAGATATGTAAATATATAAAACATTTATGATTTATATGTAAATTTATCCATAGTTCAAATGGGTAGAATGTTGATAATAGCTTTGACAACTGACCCATTAAATCATCTCTTAGTAGTTCACATGAGTTATAGCTTTCACTCTGAGCTGTTATTATTTAATAATTTTGGTCGGTGATCCATTGGAATCCTAAGAAAATGATAATAAAAATAAAATAAAATCACGGTGGGGCCAAATTTTTTGAAAATATCTTATCATAAAAAAAAAATTATAAGAGAATTTTATTTTTGGAGGGTGGGCGCTCAAACACAGCTCACCCAGATTTTAAAATTTTCAAAATTTTGCTTTTTAGACAGCAACTAGTAACTATTATTTTTTAAAAAAATTTTAATATTTTTTAGAAACAGTTTTTTTAAAGCAATTTTTTAAAATAAATTTTTATTTTTATTTAAAAAAATTGTTTAAAAAAACAATAAAAAAGACGGCTTTCTTCTTGCTTCCTGAAACAGCTTTTTATTACAAAAATTAAAATTTTTATATTAAGAAGATGCTTTAAGAAGTAGTAAGAAAGCCGTCCCCAAACGAAGCCTAAATCTATTTTACTTTGTAAAGCTATTTCTTAACTAAAAGAATATTTTAAAAATAGAAAAAAAGCTAAAGATGTTTTAAAAGATGAGTTATTACGTCCGGTGACCCAATTCAGACTCATCATGTCACCAAAATACACTTGGACCCGATATATTTTGATGACGTGATGCTTCTAGATTGATGTCCAGACGAATCCTGACACTGAGCGTAATAATTTTCAGTCCCAAAGAAGCCCAAATGTTCCTTTTATTAATTTCCCCTCAGCTTTATATAAACCGTGAGAGTTTTATATCTTCTGAGCTGCTCGAGCGAGAGAGAGAGAGAGAGAGAGAGAGATCCTTTCATTTTTATTCTTTGTCACTTCACCGCCTCTCTAGCTCTCTCTCCATGAAAAGCAAGGTAGCTGTAGGGAGTGGCAAATGGGTAAATTCTGCTGCCGAGCCTCTTCTTCTTCAAAACGGTGGCGGCGCCGGCGACCTGCCGTTGGCTGAGGCCAAGGAGTCACTTCTGATGGTTTATCTCAGCACAGCTATCGCCGTCTCCGGCTCCTTTGAGTTCGGATCATGTGTAAGCTTCTGTAAAGCTGAACTCTTCTGATATTTCAATATTTCAGCATATTTTAAGCAGGTTCTTTTTTCTTTTTTTTTTTAAATAAAAGAATTTTTATTACTAAAATGAAAATGTAGAAGATAGAAATCTTAGTTCCAAAGAGAGAGAAACATTTAGGGTTTACGAGTCGAGTTAAGTATCTGACTAATCAAACTTAGCTCATTTAATTTTTGTTGAGCCCGAACTCGAGTTCAAGCTTTAGTTCAACTCAAGCTCATTTACAGAGTTCGAACTCTGCTCGTTGGAAAAATTTTAGATTCTGGTTGGCTCGATTGCTCGAGGTTGTTTGAAAAGTTCAAGCTTGCCTTGATTTTTTAGTTTTAAATTAAAATTTTCATATTTTAAAAGAATTTTACTTTAATATATAT